CTTTTGAATGGATTATCCAAGGCATGCACCCAATTAAAAACCATGTTAGCTCTTCATATATGAAAATTAAAGGCTGTGCGCGGTGGCTCATGCCTGTAATCCCAGCACTTTGGGAGGCTGAGGTGGGCGGATCACATGATCAGGAGATCGAGACCACGGTGAAACCCCGTCTCTACTAAAAATACAAAAAAGAATTAGCTGGGGGCGGTGGTGGGCGCCTGTAGTCCCAGCTACTTGGGAGGCTGAGGCAGGAGAATGGCATGAACCCAGGAAGCAGAGCTTGCGCTGAGCCAAGATCACGCCACTGCACTCCAGCCTGGGTGACAGAGGGAGACTCCATCTCAAAAAACAAACAAACAAACAAAATTAGCCTGGGCAGTGGTGGGCGCCTGTAATCCCAGCTACTCAGGAGGCTGAGGCAGGAGAATTGCTTGAACCCACGAGGTGGAGGTTGCAGTGAGCTGAGATTGCGCCACTTTACTCTAGCCTGGGTGACAGAGCAAGACTCCGTCTCAAAAAAAAAAAAAAAGAAAAAATTTGGGGAGCTGTAGCAGGAGGATCACTTGGGCCCTGAATGTCAAGGCTGCAGTGAGTTATGATCATGCCACTGCACTCCAGTCTGGGGCCTCCACATCCGGCTAATATTTGTATTTTTTTAGTAGACCCGGGGTTTCACCATGTTGGCAAGCTGGTCTTGAAATCCCAACCTCAAGCACTCGTCCCACCTCGGTCTCCCAAAGTGCTGGGATTACAGGCGTGAGCTACCATGTCCGGACAAAAATTTAAAAACAAAAACAAAAAACAAGATTTACCTAATCATTTGGTTTGGCAGATTTAAAAATAGGTTTGTATTTCTTTTTTTTTTTTTTTTTTTTGAGATGGAGTCTCGCTCTGTCGCCCAGGTTGGAGTCCAGTGACAGGATCTCAGCTCACTGCAAGCTCCGCCTCCCGGGTTTACGCCATTCTCCTGCCTCAGCCTCCCGAGTAGCTGGGACTACAGGCACCCGCCACCTCACCCGGCTAGTTTTTTGTATTTTTTAGTAGAGACGGGGTTTCACCGTGTAGGCCAGGATGGTCTCGATCTCCTGACCTCGTGATCCGCCCATCTCGGCCTCCCAAAGTGCTGGGATTACAGGCTTGAGCCACTGTGCCCGGCCTGTATTTCTTTATAAACTCATCAATTGATGGCAGTGGAAAGCAGCTTAGATATATGTTGAGTAGAAATGGAAGTTTAGTCTGGGATTTAAATTTTTCTGCAGATAACTCACAAAATCTGTTTTCCTTCTTTGGGCCTTAAGCATATTTGTAAAAAGTAGTGTAGGCTAAGCACAGTAGCTCACGCCTGTAATCCTAGAACTTTAGGAAGCCAAGGTAGAAGGATTGCTTGAGCCCAGGAGTTTGAGGCCAGGCTGGGTAACATAGGAAGACCTTGTCTCTATGAAAAAGTAAAAAATTAGCTGGCTGTGGTGGCTTGCACCTGTGGTCCTAGCTACTTGGGATGATGAGATGGGAGGACTGCTTGAGCCTAGGAGGTTGAGGCTGCAGGGAGCTGAGATTGCACCTCTAAATAAATAAATAAATAAATTTAAAAAATAAAAATAAAAAAGTAGTATAGTTTATTTAGGTTAAACTTCAATTCTCTTTTTCTCCAAAACAACTCAGTTTTCATTTATTTAGTTCCATTATAAGCAGAGTCTCTCACCTACCCAATGAGCCCTAAAAACTTAAAATGATAACTATGTTCACAAAAATATCAGCAATGCATAAATTAGAATTTATGATACCAAAGTTTGGATTATAATAAGTTTAATTCTTATCTTCCCATACTTCCTGATCCATCAGTTCAAATAATTAAAAAATTATAAATCCCAGAATGGGCAACATAGTAAGACCTAGTCTGTACAAAAAATAAAAAAGGCCAGGCATGGTGGCTCACACCTGTAATCCCAGCACTTTGGGAGGCCAAGGCAGGCAGATCACTTGAGTTCAGGAATTCGTGACCAGCCTGGCCAACATGGAGAAACTCTGTCTCTAAAAACCCCCCCAAAAAAACCAAAAAAATTAGCCGGGCAAGGTGGCCATGACTGTAATCCCAGCTACTCTGGTGGCTGAGGCAGGAGAATCACTTGAACCCGGAAGGTGGAGATTGCAGTGAGCTGAGATCACACCACTGCACTCCAGCCTGGGTGACAGACTGAGTCCCTGTCTAAAAATAAAAATATAATATAATTAGCCAGGCGTGGTGGTGCATGCCTGTAGTCCCAGCTACTTGGGAGGCTGAGGTGAGAGGGTTGCTTGGGAAGTCGAGGCTGCAGTGAGCCATAATCATGCCACTGCACTCTAGCCTGGGCAACAAAGGGAGATCCTATCTCAAAAACAAACAAACAAACAAATAAAAACTATAGGCCGGGCTTGGTGGCTTACGCTTGTAATTCCAGCACTTTGGGAGGCTGAGGCGGGTGGATCATGAGGTCAGGAGTTCAATAACAGGCTGACCAACATGGTGAAACCTGTCTCTGCTAAAAATACAAAAAAATTAGCCGGGCGTGGTGGCACATGCCTGTAATCCCAGCTACTCAGGAGGCTGAGGCAGGAGAATTGCTTGAACCCAGCAGGTGGAGGTTGCAGTGAGCCGAGATTGTGCCACGGCACTCCAGCCTGGGTGACAGAGTGAGATTCTGTCTCAAAAAAAAAAATTACAAATCCCCACAATCATTTAAGCCAAGTCAAAATTTCAGCGACATTAAGAAAGGAAATTATACCAGTACCCTTCTTTTCAACCTCCAATATACATTTTTATTTTTTAGAGACAATGTTTTGCTGTGTTGCTCAGACTGGAGTGCAGTGGCATGATTATGCCCAGGCTGGAGTGCAGTGGCATGATCATGGTAGCATACTGCAACCTTGAGCTCCTGGGCTCAAGTGATCCTCCTGCCAAAACCTCCTGAGTAGTTGGGACTATAAGGACGTGCCATCAACCAGGCTATTTTTTTTTTTAATTTTGTAGAGATGGGGGGTCTTGCTATGTTGCCCCAGCTGATCTGGAACTCTTGGCCTCAAGAAATCCTCTTGCCTTGGTCTCCCAAAGTGCTAGGATTACAGGATTACATGTATCAGCCATTGTGCCTGGCCAACCTCCAGTATTTTTAAGGTATGGAGTTGTAATGATGGGCTTCCTCTTTTCAAAAAATTTTAATTATGTCTTTTTTGAATAACTGATACATTAAATGATTAAAAACATCAAGGCTATAAAAGCATATACATTGAAAAGCCTCCCACTCATCCTTAGTACCCAGCTGCCCTCCTTGGAAGCAACTAATGTTATGCCTCAGTATACTAATATATAGCCTCAGTCTGAATATAGCTGGGCATGGTGGCGTGGAACTGTAGCCCCAGCTACTCAAGAGGCTGAGGCAGGAGGATATCTTGAGCCCAGGAGGTTGAGGCTGCAGTGACCCATGATTGCACCACTGCACACAAGCCTGGGTGACAGAACAAGACCCAGTTACACACACAAAAAAGAAAAAAGAACTGTTTAACCAAAAGGTACATCTTGACTGAGTGTGATGGCTCATGTCTATAATCCTAGCACTTTGGGAGGCTGAGGTGGAAGGATCACTTGAGGTCTGGAGTTCAAGACCAGCCTGGCTAACATGGTGAAACCCTGTCTCTATTAAAAATACACAAAAAGTAACTGGACGTGGTGGCGTGCGCCTATAGTCCCAGCTACTCAGGAGGTTGAGGCACAAGAATTGCTTGAACCAGGGAGGTGGAGGCTGCAGTGAGCCAAGATCCTACCACTGCACTCCAGTCTGGGCAACAGAGAGGGACTCCATCTCAAACAAACAAGTAAACAAAAAACCCAAAGGTACATCTTTATGTACATCTTTAGTATCTACAGATACTACCAATATCCTTTTTAGAGGATCCATTAATTTGCACTCTTACAAATGATTTATAAGAGTGCTTGTTTCCGTACACCTTTAACAACATAGTGTTATAATGGTATCTCAGTACAGTATTTATTTGCACTTCTCTTGTTATGAATGAAGTAGGTTGGATATATTTTCTCTTTCTTTCTTTTTTTTTTTAAGACGGAGACTCACACTGTTATCCAGGCTGGTGTGCAGTGGCACAATCACGGCTCACTACAGCCTCAACCTCCTGGGCTCAAGTGATCCTCCCACTTCAGCCTCCTGAGTAGCTGGAACTACAGGTGTGTGCCACCATGCTCGGCTAATTTTTGTATTTTTAGTAGAGACGGGGTTTTGCTATTTTGGCCAGGCTGGTCTTGAACTCCTGATCTCAAGTGATCCTCTTGCCTCAGCCTCCCAAAGTGCTGGGATTACAGCCGTGATCTGCCTCACCCGGCTATTTTCATATTTTTAAGAGCCATCAGTACATTTTTTTCTGTGGACTACTGGTTCATATTATTATTATTATTATTATTATTATTATTATTTTTAGACGGAGTCTTGCTCTGTCACCCAGGCTGGAGTGCAGTGGCGTGATCTCAGCTCACTGCAAGCTTCGCCTCCTGGGTTCACGCCATTCTCCCGCCTCAGGCTCTCGAGTAGCTGGGACTACAGGCGTCCGCCGTCACACACGGCTAATTTTTTTTTTTTTTTTTTTTTTTTTGTATTTTTTAGTAGGGACGGGGTTTCACCATGTTAGCCAGGATGGTCTCGATCTCCTGACCTCACGATCCGCCTGCCTCGGCCTCCCAAAGTGCTGGGATTACAGGCGTGAGCCACCACGCCCGGTCTACTTGTTATATTTTCCACCAGATCAACTGTTTTTTACTACAGATTTTATACATATTAGGCAATTAGCTTTTGCCAATCTGGTTCTGTATCTTTTTCTTTTTCAGACCTTCTTTGCCCCAACTTGCATCTGACAGTCTCCCACTTCCACTATTTGTTTTAATGCCTCATGTTTAGGTGAGTATGGAGTATCTAAAATATCTTTTAATAAACAATTGTCTACAAGAGATAACTCACCTTGCTGTCCATCTTGCATAGTTACAATAAATGGCTGACCAATGCCTCCAGTAGGGATTGAAGTTTGGATATTACCCAGAGGGACTCCATCAGTTACTATGGTGATGACCCTCTGGCCTCCACTCCCCATTACTTGCTGGATTGATGAGTCAACGGAATTTCCCTCTATAATTTCCTCTGAATTGGCTGGAGATGACAAAAGCAAATTTAAAATTTCAGCTTTTTAAAAAAATAGGAGTATAGCAATTTCAACCTCCTTGAACCTGATAACATTCAGGGAGAGGAAAATTTCTTTTTTTTTTTTTTTTTTTTTTTGAGACGGAGTCTCGCTCTGTCGCCCAGGCTGGAGTGCAGTGGCGCGATCTCGGCTCATCGCAAGCTCCGCTTCCTGGGTTCAAGCGATTCTCCTGCCTCAACCTCCCGAGTAGCTGGGACTACAGGTGCCCACCATCACGCCAGGCTAATTTTTGTATTTTTAGTAGAGACGGGGTTTCATCATGTTGGCCAGGCTGGTCTCGATCTCCTGACCTCAAGTGATCCGCTCGCCTCTGCCTCCCAAAGTGCTGGGATCACAGGTGTGAGCCACCGCGCCTGGCCGAAAAATTTCAAAAAAAAAAAAAAAAGTGAGATTCAACAGTTTGCAAAAGGTTTTGTGAACAATGCATGCTAAGTCAGAGGAGAAAAGAAAATAGAGAATGCATTATAACAGTATTTTATAAAATGTGTTCATTGAGGTATTAATAACTTTCACTAAAGATGGGTTCTATGTATAAACACGTTTTCAAAATTCTGGTTTAAATATGCTTAAAATTTTTTGTTTTGTAGGAGTATCAGAGACTTCAATAGGCTAATAAACATTGTGATTCTCCAGCAGGGTGTGATTCTCCAACAGGGTATAAGATACTCTGTTTCGGTTGGGCATGGTGGCTCATGCCTATAATCCCAGCACTTTGGGAGGCCAAGATGGGCGAATCACTTGAGGCCAGGAGTTAAGAGACAAGCCTGGCCAACATGGCAAAACCCTGTCTCTACTAAAAGTACAAAAATTAGTCAAAAATTAGTCAGGTATGGTGGCATGCACCTGTAGTCCCACCTACTTTGGAGGCTGAGGCACGAGAATCTCTTGATCCTGGGAGGCAGAGGTTGCAGTGAGCCGAGATGGAGCCACTGCACTCCAGCCTGGGCAACAGAGCGAGACTCTGTCTCAAAAAACAAACAAAAAAACCCAGATATGCTGTTTCCCCAACATATTTGATATTGGAACCCTTTTTTTTTTTTTTTCAGGAAGTATCTTGAAAGTCTAAAATGGCTGGGCATGGTGACTCATGCCTGTAATCCCAGCACTTTGGGAGGCCGAGGTGGGCAGATCACCTGAGGTCAGGGGTTCGAGACCAGCCTGGCCAACATGGTGAAACCCTATCTCTACTAAAAATACAAAAATTAGCTGGGCATGGTGGTAGGCACCTGTAATCCCAGTTACTTGGGAGGCTGAGGCAGGAGAATTGCTTGAACCTGGGAGGTGGAGGTTGCAGTGAGCCGAGATACTGAGATAGTGCCATTGCACTCCAGCCTGGGTGACAAGAGCAAGATTCCATCTCAAAAAAAAAAAAAAAGAGTCTAAAATAACCATAAATCAGAGTAAATGGGATATTTAATAGTGAATTAACAGAATAATACGTGAAGTAGTCAAAATATTGAAGTCTGACAGACAAAAATGTTAGGTGGCTTTTCTCATCTGATACCAAGAATAATAGCTGGCTGGGTATGGTGGCTCATGCCCATAATCCCAGCATTTTGGGAGGCCAAGGCAGGAGGATTGCTTGAGGCCGGGAGTTGAAGACCAGCCTGAGCAGTGAGACCACCTCCCGCCAAATTTGAAAAATTAACTGAGCGTGGTGGCATGCACCACTCAGGAGGCTGACATGGGAGGATCACTTGAACCTAGAAGTTCAAGCTGCAGTGAACTCTGATTGTGCCACTGCACTCTAGCCTGGGTGACAGAATAACAGAATAAGATCCTGTCTCTATCAAAAGAAACCCCAAACACACACACACACATATATATATAAAATAGCCAACACTTATGTGCCAGGTACCATTCTATGAGTGTTACGTGTATTATGCTGAATCGAGATTTTCAGTTTGATTAGTCAATATCCCAATAAACTAAGCACTATTAGAGGAAATAATTCCTACCACTATGGAATTTCTCTATCTAAAGCGTCACAGGGCCAGGGGCGGTGGCTCACACCTGTAATCCCAGCATTTTGGGAGGCCGAGGTGGGCAGATCACCGAGGTCAGTAGTTTGAGACCAGCCTGGCCAACATGGCAAAACCCCATCTCTACAAAAAATACACAAATTAGCTGAGCGTGGTCATGAGCGCCTGTAATCCCAGCTACTTGGGAGGCTGAGGCAGGAGAATTGCTTGAACCCTGGAGGCAGAGATTGCAGTAAGCCGAGATCATGCCACTGCACCCCAGCCTGGGTGACAGAATGAGACTCGGTCAAAGAAAGAAAAGAAAGAAGAGAAAAGAAAAGAAAAGAAAAGGAAGAAAGAAGAAGGAAGGAAGGAAGGAAGGAAGGAAGGAAGGAAGGAAGGAAAGAAGGAAGGAAAAGAAAAGAAAGAGTGAGTCACAGATAGAACTTTGCAGTAATAAGTGGGGTATCAACCATCCATATGAAACACATCTAGGTAGTTCAATGGAAACAAAGGATTCCCACCTCTTAGAAACAAAGAACAGTTAAATATTAAAGTTGAAAGGTCCTGGATAGATAACCTAATCCAAGTATCATGCCAAAGATGAGAAAACTAGAACCTGGAGAAGTGATTTATCCAAGATCAAAGAGCAAACCAAAAGAATAGCAAGGACAAGTTTAATACATTGCTTTTCCCTTTGCTATGTTGTTCCCTCATATAAATCTGAGTAGAGATCTTTATGATTATACCCATTCAGAAAAATAGGATTGGAATTGGAAGAATGTTCTTACCACCCAAATGTCATGGCAGAAAGAAATCAGAACATTCTGCTTTCATATATGATGGAGCAGATGGCCAGAGGGTTCTAGAAAGATTTCTAAATGTCTACTGAGCCCTACCTGTGACTATATGCCCCTACCTATACGAAGCCTTAAGTCTTCCCCTGACAGACTACTAGCTCTGGCTAAATGACTTGAAAACTATTTTGTTTTAAATATCAGAAAGGCAATACATACCCTATATTTGCCCAATTCCTTTGGAAATGCCAAAATAACATCTCCAATGAAAATAAAAGCAAGCCATGAAGTGCAAAGGATATGACAATGAAAAAGGTACCAGTCTCATGTATTTTGATACTTTAATATAAGATATCTGGGCTGCTATTTTGAATCATTCTATGATAGCATCAGTCAAAACATAACATAGAGTATCTCCAAAAAAATCTGCTAATATGAGAATAGACATTTCAATGTGAAGTAACTAGAGTCAGGGAAAACAAACTTCAAACTGTAAAAACACAAAGGAGTAATTTAGTCATTCTCTCATATTATTCAGCTGTCTGATTATATCACCTGGCAATTTTTCTTTCTGATGTTCAATGATGCTACATCCCTTTTCCTTAGCTGCCTCTAATTAAATGCAATTCTTTAATAATATTTCATGCAAATTAAATCTGCTGGAGACTTAAAAACAAAAGAAAAAGTGGTGATTCACCTAGCAGCATATCCCTTACCTACCTGTGGCTCTATGTGAGTTGGAGAAGGAGACAGATGCCTCAGCAAGAGCTGCAAGGGTAGCCAGCACTGAGGTGGTAGAATTTGAAAACTGTACTGTTGAGGTATGGGGGTCACCTATTTCAGTAAGAAAGACAAATGAAGTCTAATGTATAGGAAAACTTGAGGCAAATTAAAAACAGCTTATTAAATCAAAACCTCAGCTCTTCACTCTAATGTCCTCCATCTTGTTCTCTAACTCAAACTGATATAAGTCAATTATATCAGCGTTAAAATTCTTTTAAGGTTTAAAAAGATTTTCCTTTAAAGTGGATTAAATTAGTATACTTGCAGGGCTGGGCATGCTTCACGCCTGTAATCCTAGCACTTTGGGAGGCCGAGGCAGGTGGATCACGAGGTCAGGAGATCGAGACCATCCTGGCTAACACAGTGAAACTCCATCTCTACTAAAAATACAAAAAATTAGCTGGGCGTGGTGGTGGGCGCCTGCAGTCCCAGCCACTCGGGAGGCTGAGGCAGGAGAATGGCATGAACCTGGGAGGCGGAGCTTGCAGTGAGCTGAGATTGCACCACTGCACTCCAGCCTGGGCGACACAGTGAGACTCCTTCTCCAAAAAAAAAAAAAAAAAAAAAATCGTATACTTGGTACAGGGCCACTACATTCCCTTCATTTAATCATTCTCTTGGCACTGCCAGTGCTGAGCATAAGTAGCTAACAGACCAAGAGTGCTACCCACTTCCTAAGCTGGCTGGGCAGAGCTCTCCTTGGCAGCAGGCAGGAAGTGTAAAATGCATACCTCACCCCAAGCTCAGCAGTGATAAGGGAATAGTCCCCTTCTGGGCTTTACCCAATCATACTACCTCTTTTCATCAGCTAGAGAGATGTGAAGAATAGGATTCACCTCCAGTACAAGAATAGTTAAAAACTTAGTTTCATGGCCAGACGTGGCGGCTCACGCCTGTAATCATAGCACTGTGGGAGACCGAAACGGGTGGATCACTTGAGGTCAGGAGTTTGAGACCAGCCTGGCCAACAAGGTGAAACCCTGTCTCTACTAAAACTACAAAAATTAGCTGGGCGTGGTGGTGTGCACCCGTAATCCCAGCTACTTGGGAGGCTGAGGCAAGAGAATCACTTGAACTTGGGAGGGGGAGATTGCAGTGAGCCGAGATCACACCACTGCACTTCAGCTTGAAATAAATAAATAAATAAATAAATAAATAAATAAATAAATATAAAGTTTCATATATTGAATGTCAAAGGGTAGTACAATAGATTAATGCTAAAAACACTAAATGCTAAAAATACTTTAGTTATGTCAAGATATACTTTTATTTTTTATTTATTTATTTTTTGAGATGGAGTCTCGCTCTGTCTCTCAGGCTGGAGTGCAGTGGCACAGTCTCTGCTCATTGCCACCTCCGACTCCTGGATTCAAGCACTTCTCCTATCTCAGCCTCCTGAGTAGCTGGGATTACAGGTGTGCACCACCACGCCCAGCTAATTTTTGTACTTTTAGTAGAGACAGGATCTCACCATGTTGCTGGTCTTGAACTCCTGACTTCAGGTGATCTGCCTGCCTCAGCCTCCCAAAGTGCTGGGATTACAGGTATGAGCCACTGTGTCTGGCCAAGATGTACTTTCAGAAAGACTTTGTTCATAACCTTCTCTTACATCTGTGTGCTATTCTCATAGCTAAGTTGTAAGAGGGAAGCGCACTAGATCTGGCAACAGACATGCCTAACTTTATGAACCAAAAGTATTACTCTAACTGTGGATATTTCCTTGTTGGGGAAAAAAAGTATTACTTAACAGTATTATAAAATGAATTATATTTCCCTATTTCTTTCCCTATAATTTCAGAGATACGTATTGTGCCAGTTACAAATGTATTGCCTCTCAGTTCCAAATCTACCCTTCTTTGTCCTGCCTGGTGATGCTGGGGCTGGACCCTATAAACATTTCTTGTCAGCTGGCATGACATTAAGCTTTGTTAGTATAGAAGAAGTGGCTGCACCCTCTATTGGCTATTGCTGTATTCTTTTTTTTTTTTTTTTTGAGACGGAGTTTTGTTCTTGTTGCCCAGACTAGAGTGCAATGGCGCGATCTCAGCTCACTGCACCTTCTGCCTCCTGGGTTCAAGCCATTCTCCTGCCTCAGCCTCCCAAGTAGCTGGGACTACAGATGCGTGCCACCATGCCCAGCTAATTTTTGTATTTTTAGTAAGACGGGGTTTCACCATGTTAGCCAGGCTGGTCTGGAACTCCTGACCTCAAGTGATCTGCCCCCCTCGGTCTCCCAAAGTGCTGGGATTACAGGCGTGAGCCAGCACACCAAGCAATATATTTTCTTTTTTTTTTTTTTTTTTTTTTTTGAGATGGAGTCTTGCTCTGTCACCCAGGCTGGAGTGCAGTGGCCGGATCTCAGCTCACTGCAAGCTCCTCCTCTCGGGTTCACGCCATTCTCCTGCCTCAGCCTCCCGAGTAGCTGGGACTACAGGCACTCGCCACTTCGCCCGGCTAGTTTTTTGTATTTTTTAGTAGAGACGGGGTTTCACCGTGTTAGCCAGGATGGTCTTGATCTCCTGACCTCGAGATCCACCAGTCTCGGCCTCCCAAAGTGCTGGGATTACAGGCTTGAGCCACCGCGCCCGGCTATATTTTCTTTTTAAAAGTACTCTTAATTTTTTTTTTTTTTCCAAGACAAAGTCTGGCATTATTGCCTAGGCTGGAGTGCAGTGATACAATCTTGGCTCACTGCAACCTCTGCCTCTCAGGCCCAAGCTGTCCTCCCACCTCAGCCTCCAAGTAGCTGGGACTACAGTCGTGCATCACCATGCCTGGCTAATTTTTTTTTTTTTTTTTTTTTGTATTTTTTGTACAGACCAGCTTTCACCATGCTGCCCAGGCTGCTCTCGAACTCGTGAGTTCAAGCTATCTGCCTGCCTCAGCCTCCCAAAGTGCTGGGATTATAGGCATGAGCCACCATGCCCAGCCTACTCTTAATTTTTATGTTTTCCCATTACCTATGCTTAAATATTCTTTCCAGTTTTTCTTCTTTCAAGAAGTCAGGGCCAGCTGCAGTGGCTCACGCCTGTAATCCCAGCACTTTGGGAGGCCGAGGCGGGCAGATCACCTGAGGTCTTTGAGACCAGCCTGGTCAACATGGTTAAACCCTGTCTCTACTACCAAATGCAAAAAAAATAGCTGGGTGTGGTGGCGCACACCTGTAGTCCCAGCTACTCAGGAGGCTGAGGCGGAGAAGCGTTTGAACCCAGGAGACAGAGGTTGCAGTGAGCTGAGATTGTGCTACTGCACTCCAGCTTGGGTGACAGAGTGAGACTCTGTCTAAAAAACAAACAAACAAAAAAAACCCAAAAAGTCAGTTATCAGGCCAGGCAGGGTGGCTCACAACTGTAGTCCCCGCACTTTGGGAGACCAAGGTAGGAGAATTGCTTGAGCCCAGTACTTTGAGACCAGCCTGGGCAACACAGCAACACCTCATCTCTATTATTGTTATTTTTTGAATTAAAAGAAAAAAAGAAATTAGTTATCTGCAAAATACTTAAGGAAATTCCTATTTAACATTGTTGTTTTTTTTTTTCTTTTTCTTTTTATTATAGTTTAAGTTCTAGGGTACATGTGCACAATGTGCAGTTTTGTTACATAGATATACATGTGCCATGTGGGTGTGCTGCACCCATTAACTCATCATTTACAATAGGTATTTCTCTTAATGCCATCCCTCCTCCCTCCCCCAAACCCACGACAGGCCCCAGTGTGGGATGTTCCCTGCCCTGTGGCCAAGTCTTCTTATTTAACATTCTTTAAAGAAAATCCTTCCACAGAGCAGAGGATCCTTTCTGATGTGATTTGGTAATCTAACTGGTTTATACATTTAAACTTCAGCAGATTTTCCTTAAAAAGATAAATTACTTGCATAGTAAGTAATTCATCTTCAAGCTGTAAACCATTTTTTTTTTTCAAGATAGTCTCACTCTGTCACCCAGGCCGGAGTGCAGTAGCACGATCTCAGCTCACTGCAACTTCCGCCTCTCAGATTCAAGCGATTCTCCTGCCTCAACCTCCTGAGTAACTGGGATTACAGGCTCCTGCCACCATGCTCAGCTAATTTTTTTGTATTTTCAATAGAGACAGGGTTGCGTCACACTGGCCGGGCTGATCTCGAACTCCTGACCTTAAGTGATCCACCTGCCTCAGCCTCCCAAAGTGTTGGGATTACAGGAGTGAGTCACCGTGCTGGGCTTAGAAACCATTTTCTTTTGTTATTTTAAGATTTTTGTTTTATTTTGTTTTGTTATTTTCTTTTGTTATTTTTATTATTTAAGTGTCGCTCTATCACCCAGGCTGAAGTGCAATGGCGTGATCTTGGCTCACTGCAAACTTCGCCTCCCGGGTTCAAGCAGTTCACTGCCTCAGCCTCCCCAGTAGCTGGGGACTACAAGTGTGTGCTACCACACCTGGTTAATTTTTGTATTTTTGGTAGAGACTGAGTTTCACCATCTTGGCCAGGCTGGTCTTGAATTCCTGACCTCATGATCTGCCCACCTCAGCTTCCCAAAGTGCTGGGATGACAGACGTGAGCCACCACGCCCGGCCCAGAAACTATTTTAATTAAAGCTTTAGGATGATTACTATGGGAGTGGGGATGGGGATGGAGGTAGTGAGGATATCCCAATGTTATTTTTTTTTCTTTCCCTCTACACATACTCAGTGGAACAATTTTATCCTAATGCTCTCATAAAATACCCAGGGAACCAAATGGTCTGAATAGTATACCATGCTTGACCTCCAGAAGTACCCTATGTGTATCAAATGACTCTATACTACAGCCTATTCTCAAATTTTCCTTCTTAGCCTATTCCCAAATTTTCCTTCGTAGTTCATGCTTTTCTCATCACTCAACTTTTCATACCAAATACTGATATAAGAACTCACAGGCCAGGCGCGGTGGCTCACGCCTGTAATCCCAGCACTTTGGGAGGCCAAGGTGGGCAGATCACGAGGTCAGGAGTTCGAGACCAGCCTGGCTAACATGGTGAAACCCCGTCTCTACTAAAAATACAAAAAATGGGCCGGGCGCGGTGGCTCAAGCC